TTAATTAAGAAAAGACTTGTATCTCTGAAGTTCCTCGGAAAGAATTTATACTGGAAATTAACAAACGTGCAGATATGCAACAATATATATATATAAATAATAGGAGGTGACATTTAGGTTCTACTTTATTCTTGGAGAAACCAGATGATGTGATATTTAACTTGCCTAAACATGTTCTGAATGATGTTGGGAAAAAAGTATCAGCTTGGGGTTTAAAGCTCAGTATTTCTAATATCATTAATTTAAGGATTATTTTGGTCAACTTGAACAGTTTTCAGAAGCATTATCACATCAAATGATTTGAAATAACTCAAATTAGTGGTACAGCTCTCACTTGTTTTAATAATTATAATAAGGAATATTAACATTTTTCAAGTTTAAATGCTGAAGAATTTAGAACTTTAAAAAATAAAAGTAGAATGATTTATAAGTTGGATAATTTTTTTTTTAATTCCACCATAAAACCAGTAAAGCACGGTTATAAGCTCAAATGTTAGACCCAATCAGTCTTAAGAGACATCCTAGTGTTGTAATTTCTGGATAAGGATGATTACATGAAGAAACTGTCTGTGATAGCTCTATATTAGTGAAATTGGATCATGATCCTACGGATAAAAGGGAAAATTCTTAGTGGAAAACATTTTCTGGACATTAGAGCACCAGGTAGCCATCATTCAAGAAGGATGTCTCTTAAGACTGATTGGGTCTAACATTTGAGCTTATAACCATGCCTTACTGGTTTTATGGTGGAATTAAAAAAAATGTACCCCAAATGAATATATTCTGAAAGATAGTTTCAAATTTTCCCAAGAAATTTAACAGTAATGTGCATTGTACAAGCTTCAATATTGAGTCTTTGTATACTAATATATTACTTGAAGAAACAATACAACTAAGTGTTGAACTGGTGTTTAAAGACAACTCCAGTGCAATGTCTGTACCAAAATCAGTTTTCCTGAAACTGATGGATTTTGCTACCAAAGATTCATTTATGATCAGATTGATGGACTCACTATGGGTTTGAGACTTTCACCATCCTTAGTCAACTTCTTTCTGTATCATTACAAAAACCAATGAATGGAAAATTGCCCTCAACAGTTCAAACCTTTCTACTACTTCAAATGTAGATGATACCTTTACTATTTTTAGAATTTCTGATCAAGCCTTCCAATTTTTACAGTAGACATAACAGCATAAAATTTACTGTTGAACATCAACAAGATCACAAACTTTCCTTTTGGACACTCTAATTTGCAACAAAAATGAAGAGTTCCAGAGTGGAATATATCATAAGAAAACTTACTTACATTGTACATTTAAACTATCTAGTGCATACAAAGGTATGCATATAGAATTTGTTAACACCATGGATTTTTTGTGTAAAAATATGTTTCCCATTGAAATGATTGACAAAATACTTTGTGAACAAGAGAAACATGTGTAATATTATTCCAATTGATGTGTCTAAATACTCTGTTTTTATTGGTTTACCTTTTATGGGTAAATATTCCTTAGTTCTTAAGAATGAACTGTGACAGGCCATTTATAGGGTATACCCACAAGTATAATTAAGGTGTGTTTTCAAATCTAATTGAAACTACAATCTGTTTTCATATTTAAGACCATATTCCTACATTACAGTCATTTTTAGTTTTTACAAATTTACTTGTCCTTGCTGTCAGCAAGGTTATATTGGCTCTACCAGAAGGAAATTAATAACACTTATAAAAAACGCTCTAATTTCAGATCACCCACTGAATCTAGTATAGCTAGCATAGTAGAAGACTGTGACATAGTCATCATGTCCAATTTGTTTAAGATCCTAGCTAGGGCCAATGATGAATGAAACTTCTGTATAAAAGGGTCTTCTGATTCACAAACTGAGGCCTAAGATCAAGTTGTTCAGTTGTCAGGTATATTACTTTTAAGTCTTTAAAATGTAAAGTTTAGAAATAACCTTCCCAGGTAGAGAGAAGATTAACAACCTTCAATGTCAATTTTATAATATTTTTATGCTTCAAACACTTACAGATTTAAGTTACTAAATGTAATACATCATAATGAGATTTTTTAAAACAATTACACATTTTTACAGACTTATCACCACTTTTATTGATATTAAGCATATATATAATTTGGGAACAAACTAACAATACCAAGCTCTTCCTATTTCATTTAATGTAGATAACCACAGCATGATGAATAAATGAAATAGTATGAAAAATCATGACTAGTAACACTAAACCAACTCTTTTGGGAAGATAATTAACAGTACAAGTTTATCTGTGTGATTTAAATAAAAAATCTAAGAATTTTGTATTAGCTAAAAATATATCATGACAACAATAATTACAAAAGAAATATAATATTCTCACTCTCAGCAAACTCAAATGAGTGAAATCGAACTGGCTGTATGTAATTGACTAATGCAGACATTTCAGCTCCAGCTTCTGATTCCTTAGCAGCTGTTCCCTGAAATTTTCTCAATATATATTAGACATCTTTATATCTTTAAGACTATTATTAAACCATGTGTCAATTAATTAATTAATTAACTAAGTTTAATAACTTGTGTACTAAACATACATATAATACAGTATATGATGATGTCATGCTTTGAATGTGTCAGGGTTTTATATATGTGTAGGCTGGGATTCTTCTACAGTAGGTGTCTGTGATTTGTTGGCAATAAATTTGAATAATAAACGGAGAGCACATAATCCACTTGTTTTAAAATAATATATTCAAAACAAGTCAAAGTATGTACAAGATTCTTTACACTATAGAATATCACAGTTGTATCTAAAACTCTTTTCTTGTCAAAAGTCCACTCAGGTTGATTCAATTACTTTAGAATCCAATTGACAAGCCAAACTACTTTTCTCTACTTTGTTTCTTACTGTAAAATCTGTGATAGATTCACTTACGTTACCCTGTGGGTTATCACAGTTGTATCCAGAACTTTAAATATTTGTCTCCTTTTCATAAAAGTCCACACAGATGGGTTCAATTACTTTAGAACACCCTTTGATAAGACAAATTATTCTCCTTATGTCTATTAAACTGTGAAACTCACTTTAGAATATCACCTGTTAAGGCTAATCACTCACACACAGGCTAACTTCACATTTTCTCGCATTTTTCTGACTGAACTTTTTCACTTCACTTAACTTGTTCTCTCTCTCTGTCACCTATATATATACCTCATTCACTGAGGGCTTGAACTTTCTATAAACTACACGAGTGACATTATAATGTAGCAACACTCATTTGGTGAGAAAAATACCAAAGGTTTGAGTAATGGGAGGGCAGCAATATTACTAAAGCCTAATACAGCATTCAACTGCATATACACAATGTATGAATCGTACAGAGTTATATAATCAAATTTGTCATAACTATTGCTTTAAAAATAATTACTTTTAACTCTCTTGTTATGAAAAGTAAATAATAATTAACTACTCAACCACTAAACAAACCAAATAATGACTCTTAAACCAAAGTCTTGTATATCCAACAGACTGGTGAATCACTAGGATATGATTTACCCACAATGTCCTAATGCTGGAGGCACTATACAAGATCACTAGAGTGTGAGTTACCCATAAGGTTTTAATGTTGGAGGCACTACACCAAATCACTAGTGTGTGATTTACCTAAAAGATCTAAATATTGGAGGCACTACACAAGATCATAATTTCCACTGGTTGGTTCTCCATTATGCTTTTCACTGAAAAGCTAATGGAGTTAAAACTGATTTACAACATCAGGTTTCAGACGATTTTTTTATTTGTTTCTGTCATGTCCCCTAGTAGGATAATAGTACGTATAGGGACTTACAATGTTAAAATCTGGGGTTTGATTCCCCATGGTAGACACAGCAGGTAGCCCAATGTGGCTTTGCTAAAATAATAAATAAACAATTTATTTCATGTGTCTGAGCTTCAACAACATGTGGGACCAAAGCTTATCTAACATACATTAAAATCTTGATTAATGCATCCAATGGTAAAATTTTCAAAACAATATTAGAAAATTGAACTCAAAATAAATCAGTTAGCTGATTAATGTTTACTGAAAATATTAATGGAACAATGTTAAGAAATTTATGTATAATAAGGAATGAATACTTTTATAGTATAAACATATTCATATCCAAGAGAAGCCATTCTCTAAATTACAAGTGGATTTAAACTTATCTTCTACTGAATTTACAAATAGTATTGTTAATATGCATATGATTTGACCCTTATTACATGTACATTTTAAATTGTATTATACTGAAAATTATATATGAAGTTGTATCTTTGTTTGTTTTTAGTTCTTATAGACTTGAATCTTTAAAAAATTTACGAAAAATAAATTATATTCTAAAACAGTTATGGCAATAAAAATATATTTGTTATATATCTATATATATTGTTACGACAGCGGAAGTCACGTGATGCTGGTAACACGTAATGAGTTCTAGAAAGATTGGGGGACATCACGAATAATCCAGTATTTGCTAGGTGCCCTCTATTCTTGTATATAAGTGCACCAGACAATTATTCGGAATTGAATTGCAGACAGGCAGAGATAGAGACAGACAATTGAGTCAAGCGCGGTAGTAAATAAAGTGCGCGAATCGTTCATTGTGAATTATAGTGTGTGTTTAAGTTAAACTGATTGTAGAAATTAAGTGTATTGCAAAGTTGTATTGAGAAAGAATAAACTAGTTTTATTTAAGAAAGGACTTGTATAGCTGTTTTTTGGAAGGAATTTTTACGGGAAAATAACAAACGACCAGAGACGTAACACGTTTTGCCACAGTAATCTTACATTTATGACTGGGATAACTACTTTTAATTAAACTTGCTACATTGGAATAGTTTTTGAATATTTTTAAGTTATGTAACAAACATTTAATTTAAACAAAGTCTTAAGCCCATACTTTCAACTACGTTGAATAAGAGCTAGTGAAAAATTATATTGTACACAGCTGTAAACACATAATATGAACTGTAACTTACATTATTTTTTTTAGGTTTAAATATAGTTTATAGTGTTTGAAACACACAACCAGTACCTCATTCTGGTCCTCTGAATAGACCTCAAGAGTTTCCTCTTCTTCACTTCCTGAGTCTGTATCAGAGTCTTCAATATCACAACTTAAACCCTGCAGTTTTGGAGAAAGTCCTGCTATTTCATTCACTACCCCCTCTTTTAGGTCCACCTCTCCAGCTATAGTTAAAGTAATGGTCTCACTATGGCTTTCTATACTGTTGGAAGCTGCTAATATGTGCTGTGTCTTCTCTGGGGTTCGAGAAGGCAGGGACACTTCATCACTGTTCCCTTGTACTACAGTCCCACCAGTCTTGTAAGCAGCTAAGGGTATGTAAAAAACAAAACAAAAACACTCCTATATACTCATAGATTGAGTTTATTTGCTAAGGTTAGAAAAGTTTGTCTAGTTACCATGGTTTGATGTTAAAGCCAGAAAAGCTAGTCTAGATACTATGATCAGTTGCTAAGGTTATAAACGCTTGACTAATTACCATGTTATGCTGCTAAGGATAGAAAACCTTGTGTAGTTATTAAAAGCCTGTTTAGATACTATGGTCTGTTGCTAAGGTTTAAAAAACTTGTCCAGATACGATGATCTGTTGTTAAGGTTTTAAAAGCTTGTCCAGATACTATGGTCTGTTGCTAAGTCTAGAAAAGCTTGTCTACCTAATCGGTTCTGTTGTTAAAGTTAAAAAAGCTTGTCTAGCTAGTATGTTCTGTTAGAAAAACCTGTCTAGCTATTATGTTCTGTTGCTAAGGTTAGAAAAGCTTATTTAGTTATTGTGGTCTGTTGCTAAAATTACAAAAGATTAGGAAATATGAGGCATAGTATTGATCTTAACTCTCTGATTTCTATAAGTTAAGAATGTTTTATCTTTCTTCTAACAAATATGATAAAGGTGAGTGGAGACATCATTAAATTTCACATAAAACTTGCATTAAATTAATGGTTTATTATGATGATCAAGTGGTCTTGGTCCACAACTAATTTAAGAAAACATTTCACCTCTGGAATAATGTTTTTTCTTGTTCTTGATTATGATCTTCTTCAGCAGTTGATTAGCAGAAGGTAATGCCTGTCCTGGCTTTACCTGTGTTGATAAACATGGGCATCATAAAATGAACCATGCATAACAAAATGTCATTAGCATAAAATACAACATCCTTAATGAAAGTGATCCTCTCCAAAAACAAACATACAGCTTAATAAAATATACTACATCTAAGTATTTCCTTGGATTTGAATTTATCTCCAATAAACTAATTTTTTTCCATTTTCCAATTCACTGAAAATAAAATTTCCAAAGCCCACCAGAAACTCCCACAATTTTTAAGAAGGTTTTCGTGGGTTATAATATAAAATCTGACACAACTCTAATATTTGTTTTCTTCAAGTTTTTTATGTTCTGATTTGTTTTACAAAGTTTTTTTTTTAATTCTACAGCAAGGTGCATATATAATTCTTCATATCATCCTGAAAGTATCCTTGTGACAGAAATCCTGTAATACAAAATAACTTTTGTAATACTTTTGGTCTGGCTTTACAAGAGCATCATAAGTAAATTGGATAGTTGACTTCAAGCAGTTAGTAGCCAAACAAAGCACAACCATGCTGATATTCAAATAAAGCAAAAACAGTGATTCAGTGTCACATAGATCTTAGAGAACAATATAATAGAATGTTATGAGTCAGATGTTTGTAGTGAACTCTTGCACTGAACTTAGTTGTAGCTCCTAACAGGATATACAGCCCAGATTTTGGTTGTAAGATGTCTTAATGAACTTATAAAGCTCTAATAAGTTTTGTTGTTACAAATCTTTAATGAGAGAAATATATTTTTCAATAACTAAATGCACATAAGTTAGACTCAAATCGAAGATGTTCCCCATAAGTAACGAACTTGTTATTTTATATTGTTTTAGAGAATCATTAAACCTCAGTGTCATACTTTATAATATTATGCTACATGCCTTATTTATTATAAGGTAAATATAGTATTGGTGTGTGATGTTTTTATTACAGCTGGAACAAAAAGCAACATTTTGTCAACCACCAGAACTTCAGACACCATTCCTAACTAGTGTGCAGAATTCATATTCATTTGGAGTTTCTTGTTTGCAGTAGATTTAGTGAGCATTTACGTGTTACAACAGTGTTTTAAAATGGTGATCACATGCACTGTTATGTTGGTCATATTATGTGCTGTATTCACTTCCAAATACAACTGTTGATAGACTTTGATGTCTTTGAAACAGTCTTTCATAACCCTCTTTATATAAGCACACATGTCACAACCTTTTACAGTTACTTTTGAAACTTAATTAAACTACTATATTATCAATGTATATCAATCAACTTGGCATGCAAATGTAGTTAATAAATTAAACTTTAATATCATATAAATTTTATTTTCTTAATTACAAAAGAGATACTTAAATAAATTCGCAATCTTCACTTCTCTATATCGTGATGCTTGTTTACTCTGAATTGCCAATTTAGATATCCTTTTTACCCCTATTTGAGCTTTTGAGTTTTAATGCAAATTACTAAAACATATCTAACCTTATATTCTCCATTATTCCTGATTTACAGAGATATAAACCAGAAAGTCATACTCGCATGCCATGCCCTCCAATCACGTACCGGACATACTGTCTTTCACAAAATGTCAATAATTCTCTGACCTTTGATCTTAGATTACTTATAACCAACACAAAGAGATGATTTTACTTTACTGAATTACATAATAGGCTAGTTTGTTCTCATGATAGCTTTTGAGTTATTTGGCGTACAGATTCAGAGTTTCTATTGCCGAGTTCACCTTGATCAAATAAGGGAAATACTTTCCTACACTTTGTTAGAAAAACAGTTAAATTACAATAGTTATAGGACATTGCATTCTTTTTTTTATGTTATTATTTTGTGCTCCTAGCTGAATATTTTAAATAAATAAAAACTTAGTAAAGTACCCTATCAACAGAACCCATATGTAAGTACTAAATTTCATGTTTATATGTATATTTATTTACTTATTGTTGTAAAAGTACCTAAAATGTAAAAAAAATTGAAACATATTAGGGTAGATAAGAAAAATGAAAAACATAAAAAAAATAATTTCTTAGTGAGGTATGAATGAGAATTTCACAAGTATTATGCAATTAAATAGCTTGTTTTACTGTAACTTGAAATACTGCTTGACAGTTGTTTATAGCTTTATTATGCATGTTTAGTAGTTAGACAAGGTTTGAAGAGCAATAAAACGATAGAATTAAATAAAAACAAATGTAAACTGTTATGCCTAAAGTTCTTTAGGATAAATAATTGTAGTTTTCTGTTACAATCTACAATCATTCTAGAAAGAAAAAAGGGTAATTTAAATTTATTTCGTCTTTTTTGTGGTTGTCACAAGGTTGGCAAAATGGACAGAGCCTATATAGTGTTACGGTAGAGTAAATAACAAATAAAATATAAAGTTTTACTCCAAAAAACTTTTGGTAGTTCATTTAGGAAGTTCTAGAGATTATAAAAATAAAATCTGAAAACAGTATGATGAAAACAAAAAAATGATTCTTAGCAGAAAAATCACCTTTCACTCAAACTGACTTTAGAAATTGACAGACAAATCTTTAGTATAAATAATTCCTTAAAAAAATCTGAGTTTTTATGCACAAAAAGACTTGTAATATTTTCTAAAGACTTGCCATATTTCACAAATATACACTTACTATATTAAAAGCTATAATATGCATAGTTCCCTGGTTATACGGTGGTTAAAAGGTCAGTCAAAATGACCAAACCCATATAAAGAGAGTTAACAGTGCTCATGTTCATTTGGTTTCTGCTACCATGTCCATTTAAAAGTCAGAGAGATCCTTGCTGTTATCTGTTGTCTTGTATATTAACCATGAAAAAACATGCTGGTATTTGCTTTCTTAGTGACTGGCCAATTCTTTAGTAGGTTTAACTTATGACTCTTTGTAAATGTCAAATATTGAATTACATATACATGTGTGAGAGAATGAAGTTTAATGAATATATATACCTAACAATAGTTAAGTATGATTTTCTATGTGGATGTAAGAAAATCCTTATTTTCAAAATTTCAAAAGAATCACGGTGGTATATGAAAGTCCTTTGTGTTACTTGTAGTTCTTGAGTTATAGAATAGAAATAGAAAAGGGTCATAATTCAAGGTGAAGTGGATAGCCCAAATACCTGGTTTAAGGTTTGCACAGGAACAAAGCTAAGAATGAAATGTAATTAATTCAAAAGACTTTTGTGATTGCTAAATTAAAGCTGATATTAATTCAACACTACAGTAGCAGAAACCCATAAAACATTTGCAGTCAAATTAGTATCTTTATTGCAATAGTATTTCTTTAAATACAGGAATTCTAGATTAATACAAAAGAATTCTAATCACAGACACCAAAATCTACAAGTCCACTTATCTTAGGCCTAACATTAGTTAACCTTTATTAAGTAAGGCCTATATTCAATAAAGAGATAAACTAACACTGTATCTTGTGTACACTTTTTGCTTTAGTTTAGTTAGAGCTAAACTTAATGGTACCTAATACTTTAAGTAGAAATGAATAAAAACCCTATAACCCAAGTGCTTCTGAAAGGTCCACTTTCGAAAGCATTGAAGTTATAGGGTTTTTATTCATTTCTGTCAAACATACGTGTTTTTCTGACATAATGAATAATACTTTAAGTAAATAAACTTATAATGTTATTTTATGCCATAATGTTAGGTCATTTTAAAAACTTTAATAAGCTTTTAATATGTTGTACAAAATGCCTACTAAAATATACTTACATCTGTTGAAATGAAGAGCACGTGTATGTGCATTTAGAAAGTAAGATGTTTGTGGATTTTCAGAACAGACAAAACTGAGCATTATTATAATAGATTCTCTGATTTGGTGTACTTTTCTCCCTTTATTATATGAACTTGTTATTCTTGAAGTTTTATGCAATTTATTTATTTTTTTGGTTTTGCCATGTGCATATACATTTTTAGAACAACAAAGAAACAGAAATAGTGAGCTAAAGGTCTTATATGTCTAAACTACAAACACTTTAAACAAAGTATATTCTTCTCTCAGCTGGAAAAATGAAGAATGACCAGATCTGAGCAAGTTTTAGTTGTAAAACATACTATACAC